AATACATATACGATATTTTTATCTACATGCAAGGATAAAACTTACACGAGCCCCCTGGGACATTTTCGTATGTATTATATGTTTCATTCGTTTATTATCCTGATCAATTGATCTCCAGACTCTGTGTTGCCCAAATCATGTGAAATTGATTTAATTGTTCTCAAACTTCAGCATTGCAAACACATTGTATAAGATAAAAGACACGAATGTGTAGTGTGTAGATTTCAATTTCCTGTGCCTACATTTCGTCAATACTGCCATGGCTGGCTCATCATAAAAAAGTCTAGAATGGTAAATTAAGAGATTACCAAATCGATATTGCCCTGACATTTAAATTGTTCTTGAGAGCCAAATGATGTTGAGGGTCAACTAATCTTGAGGGTTTTATGATCTTGACTGATCCGAACGATCAGATGGGTGCAAGGATTGGTCAACTGATTCGTACGGTCAAATAGACTAAAGAGATAAGTGATCGAAGGGCCGAATCATCAAATGCACCAAATTATCTTGAAGGTCTAGTAACCGTGAGTGTCAACGGGTGAGATAATTTCAAATACCAAAAGCGAACGGACAGAGGGATAAAAGGAAGTTTTGCTCCGCAGACTTTACAGTTGATTTTTTTCCAAAAACCTAGAGTAAGTGTTGGAAGTCCCTACAGTGAAATAAGTGTTTCCAAACCTAGACTTACTGTGGCTCACTTTCTTTATCTTATATAACCTCATTTTGCTGACTGTAGATGTTCTGGAGTGATCAAACGTGATCACTCAGTTTCTTGTTTTGAATGTGCTTTTTATCCATTCGAATGGCCTGGACGATTTCGAGTAAAATTCAATCAGACTCGAGTCACATCGGAATCTATTGATTGAAACAACAAGCATTCAATTCCATCATTTTTCTGGAAAAAATCTTAGAATTTTCAGAAAACCCCCTTTTCATGTTTTTTTAGATTTTTTGCCAATGACTAAGAAAATCCCAAGGTTCGACCAATAATTGGGTAAACTTCAGACGTTGAGACTTGATAAGGGTCAAACAGGAAAGACAATTCAACCGATCCCAAGGATTAAACCCTCATTAGAATCACTGTCGCGCAGGGAATCCGAGCGCAATAATCTAACGGCCCAAACACTCACAAGGGTCACGAGGGTCATATAGGGATAATAGCAAAACTACTCTTAAGGTTATTGGACCTTTAAGATGATTTGGCGCATTTGATGATTCGCCCCTTTGATCACTTATCTCTTTAGTCCATCTGACCGTGCGAGTCAGTTGACCAATCCTTGAGCCCATCTGATCGTTTGGATCAGTCAAAATCATAAAACCCTCAATATCATTTGGCTCTCAAGAATAATTTAAATGTCATAATTTAAATGTCAGGGGAATACCGGTTTGGTAATCTCTTAATTTTCCAATCTAGATTTTTTTTAATGAGCCAGCCATGGCAATATTGAGGAAATGTACGCACAGGAAATTTGAATCTACACACTTCACATTAGTGTCTTATGTCTTACATAATGTGTTCGTGTTCGATGCCGAATCTGATTTGAGTGGAATTAGGAAGCGATGGGCGAGATAAAAGCGGATTTTGCGGGAGCGTGAGAAGGGCCAGAAATCACTACACGTGGCGTTGGTCACAAAAGTCAATTTGATTTAAACAAAGTCAATATTTCCACTGTGGTTAATTAATCGAGAGGATCAAAAGATTAGCGCGGTTTACAAAGATAAATAACGCAGTTCACAGAGTGTAATAATGCAGAGCAATAATACGCGAAACTCACTGAAAAAGTAGAATGATTTGCAGAACGTAAAGTACACTGTACGATGGTCAATTTGCAAATGAGAGGGATTCGCAGGCCACAAGGTGTCAGGCGGAAGTCCCAAAAGGTGTGAACGTGACCCCATCAAAAATGGGGGCGTTCACATGACACCTGTCCATAAAGTAGCGCCTCAGGTGTCAAAGGTGAGAGGCCACTGGTCATCTGAGGCTATTGCGCAGGTTAGTTGTGCGTAGGCCAGGCAAGCATGCGAGCGGAGCGAATGTGCGTGAGTGTGTGTAAGAAAAATAATTCGGTGGAAAACCAAACAGTTCGAAATGCGGAAATTTGAAAACAATTGAATCAATTTCACATAATTTGGGCAACACAGAGGCCGGAGATGAATTGATCAAAATAATAAACAAATGAAACACATGATACGTACAAAAATGTTCCAGATGATTAATGTAAGTTTTATCCTTGTGTGTGGATCAAAATGTCGTGTATGTATTCAATGTACTGGCATAGAATAGAAAGTGGACATCGCCGTTTGCAACTACAATTAACAAAAATTCGAATATTGACAACGTGAAAATGAATCATAGCTTGAAATTCTTCAAGGTGCAGTCTTTATTACAACTGTTAAAAGAATCACGTGTGAAATATTCCCATACGCAAATTAATAGTGCATTAATATATAGATATTCTAGAATGTATGTTGTCACTTTTTCTCATCGAGTTGGGGATATTATAAGAATGACTTTGATCTGTGTACCGTGGATCAAATAGTAGAGTACAATGCCAACATTACATTACAAAAATCACCAGATTTTTTATCGCAGTGTTCGTTATAAGAAACTCTTCAGTCATCTTCTACCACAGTAACTGTAAATAATAAAATACGGTCTGTGAATTAATAGCTTTCGCCAAATTATTGCAGGGTAACATAATTGACATGAATACGTGAAAATAATCCCTGTCAATCAACGCAGTTAATTCCTTAAAGCACGCCCTACGTGACATGGTACCAAATGTAACGTACAGAAAAACAAAAAATACTTACCCAGTGCTGTCAATGGCACGCTGTAAACTTATATCACCAAAGTGGTGGAAATTGAATACAATTAATTTTATAATTTCCCCTTTTTTACTATAAACTTGTGCACATTCACATTTATCTACATCCACAAATTAGATATCAACGGAAAATCTAATCCGATTGATATGCCGGAAAATTCTCCATTAGTCGGACTGCGAAAGATTCGAAACAATAATCATACACTCTGTATGATATTCGGTGGTTACAATGCTCTCTCATTGCATGTTTATTTCCACCTGCCATTTTCGAATGCGCACAGTAATTTTCGGAACTTATAGTTCTACTACAGCATGCGAGTTGATCAACATTTCATGCTCAACAATTCGTTTGATATGCCTCGAGGTGTATATGAACATGTTGTATGTGGATTAATTTTTGATGGAACAGTTTTCAGAAATTTGAGTGAGAAATGAGTGAGAAATGCGACTGGATCTGTGGTGATTCTGAGAGGGACACCGAAACAACATATCCAACTCTCGTAGAATGCTCTGGCACCAGTGGCTATTTCCTTATTCTCTGGCGGTAAGGTTTCTGGTCAACGGGAGAAACTTCAACACTTGATAAGATGATGGGATTCAGGTGGACATGCTTCAATGTGGCTGAAGGTGGTGCGAAAGAGTCAACAGCTGCTGAAACGTGGCGTATAATATCGGCCTATTGGCACTAGATGTACGCTCGTGCCCATTCTCGACAGTCTGCGTCGATCAACGGCTAGATATAACATTGAGTTACGAGTTTGGCCGACGCTTTGATGCGTGGGTGTGTTAGATTATGCATGTTATTGACTACTGTTCTTTGGAATGGTGTTGTGAGGAACGGTTGTGCTATTGGTGTCGGTTTGTCACAGAAGACGGCTACGTCTTGCTTCACGTATAGAAATCTTTCTATACATATGGCACTGGGTTGTATAGGATCAAACCTATAGAAATCGTATAGAAACAATTTATATAAAAATATCCGTATAGAAATATCCGAATATCACATATGAAAATCCTATAGAAATTCGATACGCAATCCGTATAGAAAATTTCTATACGATTTTTTCATACGTGTGGTCACATACAGACATGGTCGCCAAACTTTGTATTTTTACGTTTCAGACCATTCTACATTCATTTCCAATCAAAATTAGAGAATGTGAAAATCGAAGGATTGCAATGCTTCCATTCGGAAGCAAAAATGGTTTCAAAGTGTTTCCTGGCCTTCAATTTGTGGCATACTAAAAAATGATTGTCTTCTGCCAATTCCGAACAAAAAATCTGAGAATTGGAATTTTCACGAAGGTTGCATAGTTTTTTCGTCACTATATTATGTGTGCCGAAGTCAAAATTCAAGTCAATTTATCGAAAGTCCTGTACTAGTCACGGGATTGTTTTGAAAATTTTATGCTTGCACAGCTACATGCCATTAATGAAAAAAATTGAAACTCGTTCATTTTGCATTTTTTGAGTATGAAAAATGAGTAGTAAATCATCATCACGATAGAGACAATCCACTGTAACTTTCAAATTTGACCTTGGACACCCCTTAACTCCTCACAGACGGGGCCCTTCTATTGCCAAGCGTAGATTGTGCTCAATACGGCTCGAATTCGATTATTTCTAATGAAGCTGTTACGTTCCAAATGGTTTACACTCAATTGTCTATTGGGCTAATTTGAGAAATAACATTATTGGCTGCCGGATGGATGTCGCGTTTGGTTTCAGCATTGCGCCGACGTTTTGCAAACATTGCAGTCTGCATCTTCAGGGCTGTGAGCTTTGATTCTGAGCTCCGATGTCTGAGGGTAGTCCTTTTATGTCTTCCCCTGTGATGGCGGCGGAACGGGGAAGGAGGGGGGGGGGGTCAGCTAATCATATGTTGTAATTGATCAGCTGATCAATTAAAAAACCGGAAGGACGGTTTTCCAAATAGGGTTCACTTGATATCCCCTGTCCCCGTTGATGTTGTTAAGGTTTTTGTAGATCTCCAAGCCTTCTCGGTATTTCCTTTCGGAATATCCTTGAGAGTTGGTCAACATTCTGGCTTGATCATACTCGATACTATGTCCAGTGTCCATCCAATGTTCAGCAAGTGCAGACTGTTGTAAGTGACCGTATTTGGAACACCGTTGGTGTTCCTTGATTCATCTACTGATCTTCCTCCCGGTTTCACCAATGTACACTTTTCCCCATAAGCAGGGAATCTCGTACACTCCTGGTGTACTCAGAGGTAGTCTGAGATATTTCGCACTCGGTAGCATCTGTGCAATCTTCTTTGGGGGTTGGAAGATTGTTCGGATTGTGTTTGCCGAGTACTCTGCTAATGCGTTCAGTGGCGCCTCTCAGGTAGAGGAGAAGGGCCACTTTAGGTTTCTCCCGATTTTCTTCAGGATTAATCTCCTCTTGAGGAGATGAGAGCTGGCTCTGTAGTTTTCGCTTGACCTTTCGAATTTGTTTGATGTTATATCCATTTTTGGTCAGAGCTGTCTTTAGATGTTCAACTTCGCTGTTGACGTTGGAGGGTTGGGAGATTGTAAGAGCTCTGTACATTAGGGAGCTAATGGCAGAGTTCTTCTGGGAGGGGTGGTGATAGGAGGTAGCATTAAGGTACCTGTCTGTGTGGGTCGGCTTGCGATATACTTGATGACCCAAAGTGCCACCCTCATTGCGACGAACCGAGACATCCAGAAATGTGAGGCATCCGTTCTGCTCAATTTCCATGGTGAATATGATGCTCGGGTGCTGAGTATTCAAGAACTCCAGGAATTGGTTTAGACCAGAACACCCATGTGGCCAGATGACAAAGGTATCGTCCACATACCTGAACCACACAGTAGGTTTCTGCTCTGCTGACTTCAAAACTTCATTCTCAAAGTGTTCCATGAATATATTGGCAATGATCGGGGAAATAGGAGAGCCCATTGCTGCTCCCGATTTTTGCTCATAGAACTCTCCTTCAGACTGGAAGTATGTGGAGGTCAAGCAATGCTTAATCAAGGGGAGGAATTGGGGAGAGATGTTGGACTCCTTGATTATTACCAAGGTTTCCGGGATTGGGACGCTGGGGAAGTGATTCTACATCAAAACTCACTAGAATGTCATCTGGAGAAGTCTTGAGATTCTTCAGTTTGTTGACGAAATCTGGCGAGTTCTGTATGTATGAACCATTCAGGCCAGTCAACTTTTGGAGTAGTTTCGTGAGAAACTTGGTCAGTTGGTAAGTTGGCACTCCAATGTTGCTGACAATGCGCCGCAGAGGAACAGACTCTTTATGGATTTTGAGAAGTCCATAGAGTCTAGGAGGGAAGGATTCTTTGGGAGTGAGGAATTTTGTCGAATCAGCTGAGAGTCCAGCCTTCTTCAGGAGATCAGTAGTTTGGCGCTCAATAGTACAAGTAGGATCTTTCCTGAGCTTTGTGTAAACTCTGGAGTCATCCAACATCGCGCAGAGCTTTCCGGAGTAGTCGTCCTTATCCATAACCACCGTGGCATTGCCNTCAGTTGGTAAGTTGGCACTCCAATGTTGCTGACAATGCGCCGCAGAGGAACAGACTCTTTATGGATTTTGAGAAGTCCATAGAGTCTAGGAGGAAAGGATTCTTTGGGAGTGAGGAATTTTGTCAGATCAGCTGGGAGAACAGCCATCTTCAGGAGATCAGTAGTTTGGCGCTCAATAGTACGAGTAGGGTCTTTCCTGACCTTTGTGTAAACTCTGGAGTCACCCAACATCGTACAGAGCGTTCCGGAGTAGTCGTCCTTATCCATAATCACCGTGGCATTGCCTTTGTCTGCCGGAAGAATAACGAGATCATTATTCTCCTTTAGACTACGCAGTGCAAGATGTTCCTCCCTAGTAATATTGTCACTAGGAGGAGTAGCCTTGTGGAGGACGTTGGACAACTACCTCCGGATCTCATCACTAATCTCCTGAGGAAGATGGTAGATCGCTGTTTCGATCCGACTAATAATTTCCTCAGTAGGGATCTTGTTGGGGGCAACAGCGAAGTTGTGTCCTTTCGCCAATCCATACACTTGTGCTTCACTGAGCTCTTATTTGCTCAGATTCTGCACAGTGTGGGTGAGAGTCGGGACTTTCTCCTGCGGAAGCAGTTTCTTGAACTTACTCTTCTGATTCTCGGTCCTCATCTCGGCTGTTCGGACTGCTTGTTTATATGTAACACAATCAAGAGTCTTTCACAGCTGAGAATCCAACGTCTGAACCAAAGGAATGTGAAGATTGAGAAGCTGTCTGGAGAGATTGGCCAGGTTCTTTTTGGCCGCTGCAATTCTCTCCTTGACCAGTCTCAGTGAAGCCTGGTAGAGGATGGCATTTGCCTGTCGCGAGGGAACAGGGTTCCTCAAGCGGAGGAATTTTGGTACTACTTGATGGTCACGGCACCTTTTCATGAAAGTGAGGCAGCATAATAAATTCACCGATCCAAGAATAGCCTCTCCGTGGAGGCGTTTCATCTTAGTTTTAAAGCTTTCGCGGTCATGATTAATGACATTATTGGCTTCCGGATGGATGCCGCTGATCAATTAAAACATATGATTGCCTGACCCCCCCCCCTTCCTTACCCCACCCCCACCATCACAGCGGAAGACATAAAGGGACTACCCTCAGACATCGGAGCTCAGAATCGGAGCTCACAGCCCTGAAGGTGCAGACTGCAATGTTTGCGAAACGTCGGCGCAATGTTGAAACTAAATGCGACATCCATCCGGAAGCCAATAATGTCATTAATCATGACCGCGAAAGCCTTAAAATGAAAATTTGAGAAATAGTTGAATTGACCCTCTGGTCAGTAACTTTAGGTGCTGAGGGAAACTATCTCCCCTAGGTTCCAAAAATCAATTACTATGCGCGGTTGACCAATCAAGACACGATTTAGAGTGTTTTGTTTAATGAGATTTATTCAATAACAATAATACTTGATTTTATAACACTGTTCACTATTGCAGTTTCAGGGTTCTAAGTGACCCTTGTAGGTTGGCTTTTATCAAGGTTTAAGTATTCTTATTTTTAGTTTGGTCTAAAAATAAATTGGTACTTGTGATTAAGTCCCGAACACTTTGAATTCAGAATTTCGGTATTTGGAGTTTAAATATTCACTGAGACTTTATTTGAACTTGCAGTTTCACTCTAAGATTTTTAGCGAAGTTATTCCTTCCTCTTTGACCGTGGAAATAGAAGTGATTTTCCTAAGATGAGATTTGAATATCTTAGGGCTGCCTAGGGTTCACGCGTGGGCATACACGCTCTAGTTTCTGAGGGTAGGATTAGTTGATTAGGGATGGCGGTGAGGAGAGAGGCGAGCCGGTTAGCTTTAGGTCAATGGGAGAGCCTCGAAAGTCGTGATTAGATTAGGAGCAATTAAGGGTGCAGCTACATTTTGACTCTTGAGAAAAATTCTGTTCTCACGGAACGTTAGAACTTGGAAAACGTCATTTAACACTTATGGCTTTTGGATTTCTTGATTTCGCCATGTTCGATTTATAGTTTCAGGATGCTAGTACTTATCTTACAGATTTAGTTAGTTCTTTTTTATGTTTTTGGATAGTTTATAATGTAGGTGTGCATGCCTCTGGTTTTCGGTTCGGTTTCGAATGTGGGAAAGTTGGTTTTATGATTTTTTCAGAAAAAAATGTGGTCTGAACACTTTTGTGTTATTTTCTCGTTGAAACTGAATAATATTCTAATTTACTAACTTTGAAAAAACAATTAGAAATTGGGATACAACACCAATATATACTCCATCCATCATCGAAAAACCACAGAAAATCGTCTCGGTATAACTTCAGCCAATCAAGCCTTTCTTGCGCTAACCTAATTCCTTCAACACTGATGCTCTCCTCAAACTCATAAGATATGGTTTTCAACTGTAAGTTTGAAGGAAAAAAAACAGCGTTAATATTCAACTTCCACTTTTCATGATGAAAATAGAGTCATGACAATTGACCTTTGCCAATTGTGCTTCGTTGTTTATTTTGCCGCGAATGTAAGAGATGTATTTTTTAACTTTATCACTTGAATTTCCACAGCTGAGAAATTGAAAATTCCACTAATGTTATGCAGAACTCAATGGTACGTTTTGACCAATGTTTAAATGACATTAGGTATTGGTCTGCGGTTATTAGCATATAATTCTGCACGTGGACAACACCTCTTTATTTTACTTCCCTAGGTTAGATATCTTCTAATGCCCAATATTTCAACCTTCCTTTCGAATCTGCATCAGATGCGTATTTATTGTGCAAACTATAAGTCTAGGTAATTATTGTTACTGTTTGGTTCACTACAGTACAATATCAAGAAAAAAAATTATATCCGATATTTTTCCTGATTATTGAACTAATTATTCTTTATAACGAATTTTTGATTTTCATCTTATAGTTTGCAGAATAAATACGCCCATGAAGATGACTCCGCAAGCAGATTGAACCATTGCGCAATAAATTGATTTTATCGCTGAAGTTTCTTTTCATTTGGAACCTCTCCGTCATCTATCCGTTTTTTCAATAAATTTTTTTTATGAACTAATATTGACATTCATTCTGGTTCCCCTCGATACCTACTACAAAATCCTATTCAACAATATCCTGTAACCCCACAAGATGTGGAACGCTATATAAACTTCCGTCTGCATCGAAAAATAAGTTTGAAAAGTAAGTTTGAAAAAAAAAATAACCATATTAATACACGATATCTTTAATCTAGGGCAGAGCGGGGTAAAATGGACTATCTTCAATGGTCGATGACTTATTTTTGAGGTACTGGAAAACATTAAGAGCAATATCCCACCTGAACCTTCGAGTGTTCGCAAGGTTTATAGCGTCATCAATCAATTGCGCTCGATTAAGTACGTGTACGTCTGCGTAATTCTTGTCTTGCAGAAACTCTGAAATCATCTTCCAATTCCGCTCGTCGTAATTGACGCAATAATATCCTGTCAGCAAATTCAAATATATAGCCACATGTAGTATATGTATATGTATAGTGTATTATGAATTTCCACTGTGACCGCATTATCTGACGGGTGAAAATCCTGAAAAGGGTTTTAGGGGTGTCAAATAAGCGTAACAAATAAGAGGGGGTAAATTCAATTAAATAATGTATTTCCAATCAAATTTACAAATAGATAGTGAGGTCTTTTGACTCTTATCTAGGGGGAGGGTAAGGCCAAGCGACTCGACCACGCGCAATATCGGGAAGGCTCTAATTAACAAATAAGGGAAGAATTTAGTTGTGTCTAGGGGTGTCTCGACTCTTACAATAATTATCTCACTGGGGGGGG